AGGACAACTGTGTATCCGGTTCCTTTTCAAGCAAATGAGGCAGAAGTCTAAGATTGCGCAGGCCCGTAGCCATGTTCTGGGTTTCTGGCCGTGAGGTCCACAGTCGAAGCCCCGGTGGGGTCGGCGAAACCCCAAAGCAAGAGGATTTTTGTGCTTTATGGGTCTAAATAATGCTATAAAAGCAGATATGTTTGAAAATGACTGTGTCTATGTGGGTCTATAGTGCATTAGTTGGGTTAGAGGACTTATTTGGAAAATTTAAAGAAGAGGATACGCCAGAAAAAAGGGGGTTTGCTAAAAAAGGGGGTTCTCCCGAACCATAAGACCCCCCCCCCGGATACGGGCCTGTTGCGCCACAATGGTGGTGGACGGTGACCACTAGACTTTCTGTACAAATTTGCTATTTCCTATATATTTTATTGCTTATCCTCAATTCAAAGAGAGAAATAAAATGTGTGTTTGCATGCATGTTAGTGTTTAGCCTAGGTCCCAGGCACTATTTTTGATTACTAAATCTTTATTGCACTTAGTGCGCGCCACATCTAATTTAATTGGCGTCTCATACCCTGTTTCTTTTTTTTTGGATTGGGATTTTTTTCTTTAACATCTCTCTAAATTAACTGGCTCGTTGGTAGCGCTGTCTATGAGAAAATCAACCAATGTTTCGAAGTAACTATACAAAAATAAATAATACAGTAATGGACTTGTGCCAAGTCTAGGTTAGGTTATGAGCCAAGTTTGCAGTGAGAGGTAAATTGTTATTTTTTTTTATATATATAAGTATTTAATTTTAAGCGCATCGAGGCTCTTGCATTTTGTGCTATATAAGTATAACAACATCATCGTAATTATTATTATTAACATTATTATTATCATTATCATTCTTAGTGCTTTTTATTTTGATATTAATTTTTTATTAGGCCTATAAGTTTTTCTTTACCAATGTTTCGATGTAATTGTGCAATGATTTTCTGAATAAATTCAAATCAAATCAAATCAAATTATTATTATTATTATTATTATTATTAATTATTATTAAATCAATCAATCAATTAATCAAGCAATCAGTCAAAACTTAACACTCACCCACCCCCTAAACCACTCTTCCACTTACTCACTCACTCACTCACTCACTCACTCAATCAATCAACTAATTATTTGTTAATCATAGGCATTATTACAACCAGGGTTGTAATAATCTTTGAGGACCCCGAGGTCCTCAAAGATGGATTTAATCCCCTCGCTGTGCATTTCGCTTGTGTCCTTAGGCAAGACACTTTACTCTTCACCCAGAAACCTGGTGGGGTTACCTGCTCCTGCGCTGATTACCAGCAGCAACACTTAGCATGTAGACCCAATGACCAGGGAAAAGAACCGCAAGGAAGAGGCGCAATATAATTGACCGTACCAATACCAATACATCGTATTTAGGACCTTCATATATTAATTTATTTATACATTCTTTCATTAAATAATGTATGCATGTTTTTGTTGCCTTCCTTTTCCCTTCTCTCACGAGCCATCGAACTTGTCATCGCTCTACAGATAAGTTCAGAATCTGACGCTTGATTTTGATTTACTAAACTAATTCTGGCAACTCTAACACATATAAATTTTGAATTCTGACAACAGAATTAGGTTTGATCACCAATTCGCCATCATATTGTCGTTGAACACAAGGATGAAGGATGGAGCTATGGTATTAGACATTGAAAGTCGTGGTTTTAGAAATAAAATGTTAAAATCTGGCGTTATTAGTGGCAGAACTGGATGACAAATCTTTGTCAGATATCGTTAGGAGCGCACAGTAGGTAACATTACTATTTTTGAAGAGAGAAGTGTTACTGTACTAAAGTGCATTAGCGTCCCAAACTATCCTACGTTAAAAAAGTAGCTTCCGGTCGAAGTTTCAACATGAGTTGGGATATTATACACGCATAATGAGTAGAGCCACAGATAATGAGTACAGAGTCCAGAGGGCGGTGTACACGTTTAATGAATCATCTGTTATTAGAGTTATAATTTTTATTAATTGTTATTGTACTTCATTATAGTTTCTGAACCACGATATTGGTGGCGATGATTTTTATGCTTTTTCAATCACTCTCCCAACTACCGTCACTTAGACAAGCGTCAGTTTCTGCTCCTTGGCGGTCAAGCTCTAAGCTATCAACCGAAAGAAGAGTACCTGGCAGAGGAAATCCATCAATTTCCTCAGAAGTCTCAGATGCATCATTCTCCTCTGCCCTAAGCTCGAATACGAATTGTCTAGGCTCTTCCTGTACTTGTCCATTTATAGAAATACCTGGTATTATAACGTTTCTACGTTTTATTTTTCCATTTTTCTCTACCACTGGAGTTTTTTTTGTCTGTCTTCTGACATTCCCTTTGGCACAGTTGCGTTTTCTACCTTCGTCAATTGTAAAGGATTCGTCGCCGCTGCTCTGCTTAATTTTGCTGTTATAAAATGGGCGACACTGCTTGAACTCGTGAAACTCATGCGGTGATCTGTGTGATCCATTACTCAGTTTGCTGTTTACTTTATTTTCCAGTTCAGATACCCGCATCAACGCACGTCGAAGATCTGTGTTACGTTTTGTTAACTTCACTTTCAACTGATCACACTAGAAAAATCGAAAAAAAAAATAACACAAATACACAAATGTAACAACCATTGTAATACCAATAACAGCAACAGCGGCAACAAGAGCAGGGAACAGTGAAATTGTAATTTAACTGTTCCCTGACATGAGCAAGAGCTTGCTATTGTAAGAGCAAGAGCAAAATTGTTAAAAAATTATACTAGATTGACAGTCCGGCAGAGACTTTTTTTGTCTGTGATATCAGGAATAACTTGCCTACCTACATTATTAAATCTGCAACACTGAACCAATTCTCAAATTAACGGTCAGCTAAAAATACTCAAATGGACACTTAAGAGTCGGCCTAAAACAAATCTCGGAACCAAATGGTACCGAGGTAGGAGCAAGGGCAAATACAAGAAGAAAAAGCAAAAAGAAGAACAATAAAAACAAGAAGAAGAACAAAAAAAAGAGCAACAAGAAGAATAACACCGAAAAGAAAACCACAAGGAAAAAAAATAACTAGAGGAAGAAGAACAATAACAACACCAATAACAACAACAATTAGAACAAAAAAAACCCCCAAAAAACAGTCATAGTGATGACGAAGCCAACAATCTATCTCCATCATCATCATTATTATTAGTTGAGTGGCCGAGCGGTAAGGCAGGGGCGCCGCTACCTACATCCGTTACATTGACACTGGTTCCAGTCACTCTTCACCCATGGTTCGGTTGGTAGAAACAAGTCCTCTCGGATAAGGACTTTAAATCAAGGTCCAGCACATCTGGATCGTGTGCACTTTAGAGAACCCAATGCATCTTTCGGAAGAGTAGGGGGTTATCCTGATGTTATGGTTCATTTCAGCCCTTGTCGTTTTGGATGATGTGAACATGTATCTACCATGAAGCACCTATTTACAACTGCTAGGTAGTCACAGACCACGCCCGAAGTGTAGGGGTGATGTTTTTGGATCTGGATGTACTACAGACAAGACGAGCAGGACATTAAGCTGAAGCTGCAGTTTCCTAACTATAGCATTGGGTAATCTATAAAGAACTCCATTACAGTTAGGACGCGACAGTGCATGGATCACTTTTGTGGTGGCATCTTATTTTAAGTAACGCCTGACATGTTTCATGTGGCCATTTATTAAATGCATCAACTAAAATAAGGAACATTTGTCCCTGAAATGGTCTAGCGAAATCGGTAGGAATTCTTTCCCAGCGCTCCCTCAAAGCAGGTTACCAGGGATGCATAGGCACTGTAGCTGGTCTATTTTGTATACGTTGATAAGGATCACATGCCTTACCCAACTGTTCAATTTCAGAATCAATATTCGGAAAGCAAATATACGAACGAGCAATGCTCTTCATTTTTACAGCCCCCACAGTGCAAAATCATCCATGACCCTACCACGAGACTTTGAAGGAAGTACCACTCGTTCTCCCCACAAAATACAACCATTCTCAATCGATAATTCATTACGTCTTCAATAATATTGCTCTATGGCTTTATCATTTGACATCTAACCATTTGTTATTAAACGTTTCACTTTACCTAGCTGAATATCCTTATAGGACTGCGTACAGAACGTGACTGAATAAGGAATAACAAATGTGTTTGTTTGCCCTTTCTTTTATGAAAATGGGCGGGTGGATTTTTTACCCAAGATTACTCATCAGATGGAACAAAAATTAACCCACGGTTGACATTTTGCAATGAATTTTGGCCTAGAATGGCAATATCGTATATCAGACAAAAACCTAGACAACTTTGTAGGACATCTGGCAAAAAATAAAGATCAATTTACCTACATTTTTTTTTTTTCTGCCCATATTTTGTCAGTGAGTTAGGGGCGGGTGGGAAGGACAAACAAACATTTTTTTGGCTTAAGGTGTGATATATACTTACGTGTGGAGTGATGGAGAGATTTATTTTAAAAAAAAGTAAAATTAAAAATTCGATGCACTGTTTGATGTTTAGCCTGTGGAGAAGACGAAGTGTAGGGGTGATGTTTTTGGATCTGGATGTACTACAGACAAGACGAGCAGGACATTAAGCTGAAGCTGCAGTTTCCTAACTATAGCATTGGGTAATCTATAAAGAACTCCATTACAGTTAGGACACGACAGTGCATGGATCACTTTTGTGGTGGCATCTTATTTTAAGTAACGCCTGACATATTTCATGCTGCAATTTGATAACAAACTGTCCTGCACAAGACATATTTTATTAAATAACAAGGTGGAATCATGTGTAACACTAACATTGCGAACTTCTGACAATGGGGTAATAATATAGTTGAACATTCTGATGTATTAATAATAGGCCAGCTGGCACGGAATTTAGGCTTAATGTATACAACCTCCGTCCTGTTGATGTTGAAACAAAGCATGTTTAAAGACAGCCATGATTAGACATCATTTGCCTCCATACAATTAACAGCTTTTCCAGCAAAGACAAGGATAGTAATAATACAAAGAACTAATTTAGAATCTTCATAATACTATACATTACAATGAACTGACGCTAAGTGTAGATGGAGAGATGCACCTGGACATGTTTTTTGACGACAAAACATGTTTTGTGAAGACAAAACCATGTTTGTCTGTACAAAACATGTTTTGTAAATGACAAAACCATGTTTGTCTAAAACATGATTTGTAAAGACAAAACATGTTTTGTGAAGACAAAACTATGTTTGTCTATACATAACCATGTTTTGTGAAGACAAAACAATGTTTGTTAATACAAAACATGTTTTGTGAAGACAAAACCATGTTTTGTAATGACAAAACTAAGTTTGTCTGTACAAAATATGTTTTGTAAATGACAAAACCATGTTTGTTTATACAAAACATGTTTTTTTTTAATACTAAACATGATGACACTGATGACAAGTAGGAGCTAGTGCTTTGAATGTAATATTAATTTATGTGCTAATGGGTAATATAAGGGGATGCTAAAGGGATATAAGGGGAAGCATTTTGGTGGGTTTCACGGAACCCATTTTGTTGACAATATCTACCTAGCATGAATCTCACCTAGCCTATCCTACGGGTAATTATCCCATTGCTAGGCTTGGTGTAGGTGAACAAGCCCATGATGGTCAATATTTGAATTTCTTACCTATATTTTGGTCGCTACACCATACTATGCCAAGGGCCACAAGCTGTTACTCAGAAAAGGCTTCCTTCATGGATTTCATTTCGCATTCAGAGTGTACTTTTTGAGAATATATATTGTTAATTGAATATGTTTTCTATATTATATAAAAAGTTTTCCATAATTTTTTTAATGACCCGTCGAACTTGGCCCCTCCTGCCAAAAACAGCACATTTTGGGAACATGAGTAGAAATATTTTTTTTTAGCCTGGTTCACGTCGAAGTTAAGTCACTTATCTAAATCTTGAAATATGATGCGATTTTTCCCAAATAAACAGCCAGCCAGCTTCGAGGCCGTCGACGTTACGCGGTGGAAAGGCTTGTTTAATAACGTCTATTGTATTTTACGAACCTCTAGTACCAAGGGGTTCGAAAAAAGGGACAAATTCGTCAACTACTGTACTGATCAGGTGTCAGATTCTACTACCTAGCCTAGCTATCCCCTGGATCTGGATCAATACTGGCGAAGGACCGCTGGGGTATATGCGCCAGTGGTGCGTCTCTAGGTGTGTACACAATACATCAAAGCAGACCAAACATAACCACTTAGTGCAATATTAAAACCACATAGCAATTACTTTTTTTTTTAAGTACATGACAAGCGTCTGCTTCATCAAATTGAAGCCCATAACTTGACAGTACATGCTTCTAGGTGGTGCAACGATAATTGTACCATCGATTATGTTTGTCCAAAGTGTAGATTTAAAAACAGGTAATGATTTAGCTTGTTTAATATTCTCTGGCAATAAATTCCATGCCCTTATTTATTTTATATTTGTCACTTGAGCATCTTACACTGTTAATTCTGAGGAGTTATTGAAACTCCCCCTGTAGGGTAGTTATAACCCCCAAAGGGGGAGCTATTTTTTGGGAGTTATTTTAACTCCTTAAATGGTATTAAAGTAACTCCTTAGGGGAGTAAACCTTAAGTTTACTCTCATTCCACTCCAAACTTATACAATGTTATAATGTTTGTATTTGGTTTGCTGGAGTTAAATTAACTTCATGTTTAGAGTAAAACAAGCAGAGTTAAAATAACCCATCCACAGAGAGTCAAATTGATCCTATCTCATGAATTTAGCAGAGTTAAATTAACCCATCCACAGAGAGCAAAGTTGATCCTATCGCAAAGCATAATGGCAGAGTTAAAATAACCCATCTATCAGAGAGTTAAATTGATCCTATCACAAAGCATTATGGGCCCGCGTTATTCAAGAAAAAAGTTTTGTGTCGCCATTATTTTTCTGTGTCTCGATGTTGAACGAAAATGAAGAGTTTGATTGATTTTTGTCGTTTTTTTTATTGGAATGTGTTTGAAGGTATGTACACAATAACATAGTATTCTTCTGAATATTCACGTTAATTTATTTTACTCTGATTTAGGCAACATTCTGTGTAGAAAAAGGGGTCTGGCCTAGGCCTAGGCTCTGCCAGACTGTCGTAGTACCGTATAGTCTAGTAGTTGCCTGCACGGAGAATTACCTATCCGCCGCGCAGAAATGTGGCATAGGGCCTAGGCCTAGAAGAAATCCGTCGGCGCATTTCGAAAAATAAGTTCCACGCAGATTTTTCCAAAAATTAGGCTTTTGACCAAACCTAGGCCCTATAGCCTGGCTTATAATTAATATAGTATATAGTAGGCTTAGCCTAGTAGGCCTAACAAATGAGCCTAAAATAATGCAATTGTTTTTAATTATGCAGCAATTTACGATTCCGCGCACCTATTTTCTAGCGATTTTCCTCGCAAATTTGAGCTGATATTTGAGATACTCAGCCTATGCCTATCCTAGGCTCTGCGCAATTAAACAATATTTGCAGTAGGCCCCTAGTACTTTTTAAGTATGGCATAGGCAGCCTAGGGCCTAGGCCTTCTA